AGAACATTACTAAGGTGGTAACCGAGTCTTTAAAAAATATGTGAGAGGGCCGGCCCGGTGGCGCACTGCTACAGTGCGCCGCTTGGGAAGCGCGGCGTCGCTCCCGCCTGAGGGTTCGGATCCCACATACAGACCGGTTCCCGCTCACTGGCTGAGCGAGGCGCGGGAGCAACACCGAGGGTTGCGATCCCGTTGCCGGTCCCCGGTCCGGTACGGGGGCAACACTGAGGGTTGCGATCCGTTGCCGGACACGGAAAAAGACAAAAGACAAAAAATAAAAAAAAAAGTCATTCGTAATCTCACCACCTAGAAATAGCACTGTGCTTTGGGGTTATTCCAATCTTTTCACTAATATTTTCTTCAAGTTCTTTCCTGGATTCTCTGTAATACATTATCCCTTCTGTCCTGGAATTCCATACCTCAGTGTGTTTTCTGGTACTGAAAAAGTGGTCCATGACCGAATTAAATTTAGAAATCCCTGATTTAGGGTTAAATAAGTTTTTAAGGGCAGAGCTCTCAGAGTTCCTAATATGCTAATGAGCACTGGGAATCTCGGATAGGGTGTTATGGTATTAATGATCCTATTTTCTTTTCTTTTCTTTCTTTCTTTTTTTTTTTTTTTTTTTTTTTTTTTTTTTTTTTTTTTTTTTTTTTTGTCCTTTTTTGAGACCGGCTGCACCGCGCTCAGCCAGTGAGCGCTGTGAGCGCAGCGGTCGGGCACACCGGTCATCCCTATATAGGAACCGAACCCGCGGCGGGAGCGCTGCTGTGCTCCCAGCGCCGCACTCTCCCGAATGCGCCACGGGCTTGACCCTAATGATCCTATTTTCTAAACTAATTGGACTTTGTTATTTTTAAGAGGTACCTTGAAGGAACTTGGGGAACTGCTCTAGGACCCTGGGCATGTTTAGGAGGTCTGAGCTCTTATCAGTTTAACACTACTACAGAGTGTGCAACTCAGCCTCTGTGTTAGGGGTACCTAGCACACTGCACACTGCTCGAGGACCTTCTCACTTATCAAAGCCCAGCTTTGAGCTCTATGCCTTATTGAAGGTAGGTGAATATGTGGTTTCCTAGACCAGTGAGTCAGCACTGTCCTCCCGTTCCCCGAAGCAAACAGCAGACATTAGAAGTTCCTCTGGGGTGCACCAGTACACACCTTGTGCCACAGGACCTGCTTTGATTCTGACTTGGGGCTCCCAAGCCCCTTTTCCTTTTGGAAAGGGGCTAGCAGTTGCTGTAATCTGGTGAAAGCTACTGTTTCTGCTGTCATGGCGACATCTTGTGGTTAAAAAGGAAAACGCAAGAACAGCCATCTGCCCCCCACCTTTCCTCTGCTCCAGCTGTGGAGAGATTCCCCTCCAGAGAAGCCCTGGTCTCCTCCAAGACACTGACATCGAGTGCATAATATTTTCTGCCTCCCCTACCCTTCCCCACCCATCCCATGTCTTGTCAACAAGCTTGGGCTTCTACTTGTCACCAGGGCCCTCCAAATCCTCCCTGGACCCATCTGCACTCGTCACAACCTCTTCCTCTAAAGTGCTCCAGCCCCCAGCATTACCCCTCCCTCCTTCCTTGACATCCAAATTCCTATTCCTTTGATGCGTGAAACTCAGCTGACTGGAACACAGTTTGCAAAGTATGTCCAGAGCTATCACACATGTGATCTTCTCTTATCTTCCATAGCCTTCGGGGAAATGTGGTATTATGATAATTCTGGCTTTTTTAAGATGTCGGTACTAAAGGTCAGAGAGGCTGTGAGTGACTTACAGCTACAAGGTGGAGAGGTCAGGACTCACATCCTTGTTTTCTGATTGCAGATTCTCTGTTCTTTTCACTGCTAGCTTGCTTCCACTGATTGCTAAGTCAAAGGAACCAATTGTTAACGGTGGAAATTCTGTCTCCAGACGTAAAAGGGCAGAGGAACCCTCCTCTCCAAACCATCCACAGAGCACTGAAATGTTTTAAAGGTCAGAAATGGGCTTGGACTGACCTACAGAGGAAGAAGATTGGTAGATTTCTAGGGCTTTGTGAGGCGGGGCGGAGACAAAAGGCTTTGAGGACCCTACACCCACCACACAACACCATCCAGATGCAAGCTGTGTTATTACCATTAACCACATTCTTTTCTGTCACCCTCAGGTCCCACTTCTGACTCTGAGCAAATCTTAACTTGAGGCAGGATCGAGCTTCTGCAATGTAAAGAAGCAAATCCTCCCTTAACCTCCTTTCATGTCCTCCCCCTTTGGAAGGCTGAATAACTAAGTGTTGGCTTCTGACAACCAGCAGAGTCTTTCCTGACAGGGCAGTAGAGCTGTAAGCAGGGTGCCCATTTGTGAGGCCCCTCAGAAGGTGCCCAAGGCTTACAAGGCAAAGGCGCATCATGACTCTCATCGCTGCTTTTCTTACTGATGGAGTCTCCCATCAATCCTGAACCTCCATCCTCCCTTCCCCTCAGCCACACCGAATAGATTCCTGAGCTGTTCTCCACGGCCAGCCTACTCATCCTGAAGGACCCAGCTCGAATAAATGCTAATAAGATCTAGAATGAACTGAGAGCTTACTATCTACCAGGCACTGGTCTCAGTGCTTTACATGTACTTTTATTTGACCTTCACAATAACCCGATAAACACTAATATTGTGCCCATTTTACAGATGTAGAACTAAGGCAAAGAGAGGCTAAGTAACATGTCAAGGTCACACAGCTAACCAGTGGCAGAGCCAGGACTCAAGCCCACGGCATGCTCTTACCCACCACGCTAGATTGCCTGCTCAAATGCCCCCCTTCACTGATCCTCTTATGCAACCTCTGTGTTACATCACCACCAGGTATAAGACTATTGTAGTGTTCCCTACCTTGTCACCTTCAGCTTTGGGTTCCCCCATACACACTTTGCTGGAAGGAAGGTCAGTCACATCCACAGCAGACCTACCATGACCATCACTGGAGTCACCGGGTTGTTTACAGGCCAGAGAGCGCAGGCCACAGAGCCCAGGGAGAGCTGCCAGGTGGTTTCAACAAAAATTCCAGACACACTCAATAAAAATTTACCAGCCGGAAATATGTAAACAAAACTGCAAGCTTGGTGAAATTCACGTTACATCTTCTATTTTACATTAGATCAAGTGAGTTCTACTAATTCTTTTTTTATTTTTAAGAAGCTCTTGTTTTGCCTCCAAGCGAGTAAAAGGTCAAGTGACGAAGTTCACCCTGGTTTGACTGAAGCCCCAGTCTGTGCATTCACCCAGCCAGGCCCACCCAGGACACCAGACGTGCTTCCCGCCTCACACCCCACCTTCTGGGAACAGTGTGTGCACCCGCTGGCTTCACTCTCCACCTCCCGCTTCCTTTCCAACCCACACTGAACTGAAAGACCTCCTAGCAGTTAAGTCCAATGGACACCTTGCAGGCCTTGCCTTCTTTTTTGATCTTCAGGAGCACTGGGTGCAGCCGGCCAGGCAGTTGGTGGGCTCTGGGTCCCAGGGATTCCACCAGGGTATTTCCACACCAGTTGGTTCCAACATAAAGAACAGCAGGATATTTACATAGATTTTTTTTCCAGTTTGTTTCCTGACTGAAAGGTCAAATACCAAGCTGCCCAGTACAAAACTGGTCTCCTGGCAACTCTAGTTGACTCTCCCATCTCCTTCCCTGAGAATGTGGGGCCCTTACAGCCACATGGTGGTGTGACTGGGTGGGGCCACAGAAGGGTGGTGTGTTTGGGGAGGTGAGGGTCAGTGGAGTCTGAGATGGACTAGCCTGTTTAGGAAATTCCCCAGCCATGGGTGGAGCAGCAGAGTTAGACTTGGGGCCTCAAATGTATACTTTAGGACATAATCATAATGAAAATTAAAATCCCACTCAGTGCTTTTGCACAGAGTGGTTATCAGTACACGCTTATTCAAGAGAATTGAGGTGTGGGGAGTAAAGAAGACAAGGCAACACTTCCGTGTTTCTTTTTTTTTTTGTCTTTTTTTTCGTGTCCAGCAACGGATCGCAACCCTCAGTGTTGCGCCCATACCGGACCGGGACCAGCAACAGGATCACAACCCTCGGTATTACGCCGGCACCTCGCTCATCCAGTGAGCGGGAACTGGTCTGTATGTGGGATCCGAACCCTCCGCGGGAGGGCCGCCGCGCTCCCAAGCGGCGCACTGTAGCAGTGCGCCACCG